CACCGAGTAACTACTAGCTTCTTAAGTGATCTTTGGACCTCCCAAGTCCTTTATATCTCCATGAATGCACAGCTGATGTATGAACCAGTTAATTGGATGTTGTTTTGCCACAATTTACAACTTCTGAGAAAGATGTCAACAGCACCCAGTATAAATTTAAATCAAATCTAATGCTCTAATGAAATAAGAGCAGTTTAATAGCTACACAAAAAAATAATAGTTTAAGCCAAAATGTACTCAGAAATCAAAATTTTGCACAAAAATAGCAGAGTATACTTAATGATCAAATTTTAAAAATCCATTTGTACATCTGGGGTTTATAAAAAGTAGCAAAGCCCAGCTATAGTCTACAATTCAGCTAAATTTATAGCCATAATTTGTATTGCCTTTGGGATGTGTAGTATTGTTCACTTGTACACTCTTTTCATCAATTTTCAGGCTTAGATGTCAACTGCCTTCTGTAAATCTACTTTTCACTTAGTTAGGGCCTCTACAGGTCTATCTCAATCTGGATAGAATGGAAAAACCATCTTCAAAATCTCAAAACTTGTGGCCAAGCTGGAGGGGAACTCTGCAGTCAAATGCTGAGGAAAATTCTCAATTTCAAGACACTTGTTTTCTTATGTCATAGGCATGTACAATTCGATTATGAAGCATTTGGATTTTTGAATTTTCTAGCTATGTTGTTATAAACTGTTCCTAACTCATTAAACAAAATATGAAAAAAATACCTGCATTTCCACTGCAGTTTTGTGGTTGTACTCTGCCAATACTGTCATTGCCACTGGGACTGAAAACAGAATATCTTAAAAGTCAATTTTTGACATTGTTGCAGTTGCTACCCACTTTACAACTTATTAAAAGTGACAAAATTCTTTATGTGACTTTTATCAAGAAATTATAGTATTAACCCTTTAGCTCCCACGAGTGTCCAAAACAGAATTTCTCCTTACAGTAACAATAGAATACAGGACATTTCGTACAAAAGACTTTTCGCACAAGTCTTTTAGCACAAGTTTTGGAACGTTCGCACAATTCTTAGTGGTCATTTCGCACAACAATTATAAGTGAGAAACATCAATATAAAAGGTATACTAATTGATACTGATAAGACATCTCACCTTCACATGTCACTTTCAATAAGATCCAACAGCGAGAACGTAGACATTTATTTACGTAATAACTTTAACTAGATCGAAACGCTCGTGAACACGATCACTATTCTTACTTGAAGAAAGGAACAAATCTTTCTATGAAAATGTAAAGAACTCCCTATTCGAACGATTACTTCTTTTACTTTTCCTTTGTTAAACGAAAAAACCTTTTAGTTTTGAAAGTACATCATAACAAACAAACATGATGACCCAACGTACCAGTGACTAAATACAGGAATGGCTCCGACCTGTGATTGGATGATAAAAATAATAAAAGTTAATAAGTTATATCTTAACTTCTTGCTCATGAGTATTGTTAACTGCATGTCTCAAAGCGGAACAGTATGAGGTTCTTTTACGGACAAAATATCAAACATGGATACATAAATGTTTTGTTTAATTACGTTATTGTTATGCGTTATAATACAAGTCTTAAAATAAAATAAATCAATTTCATCCGGAATACATCGATTTTGGATGTCATACATCGATGTTGTGCAGCATACATCGCTTTCCTAGCCCATTCACACGTGACCTAATATAACTAAAAGATGTTCAATGAAACTAAAAGATGAGGAAGCGGAAATAGAAATGACCGGAAGTCAGATTAAACAAGAAGCTCCGGAAACTAACCCTTTCAAAATGGCAGAAATAAAGGCAGAGTTTGAGAAGCACTACGCAAGGTGTACGGATTTGGCTGCCCAACTTCGAAGAATTTTTTACGTCTTTGGGTAGGAGAAGGGCAAAGGAACACTGCGTCCTATGACTCAGTGAATTTTTTTAAGTCGTCGTTTACGAGAATACGAAAGAACTCTTGTCACTTTGACTCTAGGAATAGAAGAAGCCTTCCCAAACGAAGTTGAGGTGATCTCTGATCTAAACGAACTTGTTTTTCTTATGAGCGAACTTTCAAGGGACTTTGACAGAATTTTCGAGGACTCGCAACGTTCTATGTTTACTGCACCATCGTCCCTAAACGATCGTCTTTCAACTGTGGCAAGGAATGGTTTAGTTGGCAGACCAAGGCTACTGATCTTACAGCAAGAGCTGCAAACTGTGCACAATGACCCCGGTTTTCGTTGGGCTGATATCAGAAGAATTATTGAATTATATGGGATGAAAGAATGAAAAGTTCATAAAATCTTAAGGGTAAAACTTGATTTGTCTTTCAAATAAATATTGCAATAATTTCCCATTTTGCTTAAAAAAGTTAAGTACTTAATGAAGGGAAGTCTTAATTCCCTACTCAGGAATAAAAAAACAATAGCCCTTGAAAAACACAACTATTTCAGGCCAATTAAGTTATTGAATAAGTAAAGAAAAATTAAGTAACATTTCTATCAAAAGTAAATTTGATCATTTACCACTTAATATCATTATTAATAAATAGCTTAAGAATCATTAGCCTACATCTATCTAAAAAGCTACAAGCATGAGTTGGCTTCATCTTAGGTTTGCATGCATATGGCCTCCACATTTACATAACTTTTCCTCATCATATAGGTCTCAGACATTACTATCTAACACTTGCAATACTTAAAGTACCTTTTCCACATCTTGTGCTTGTTTTGGCAACAAATCTTCATCAGTTGATGATTGATACCAAGAGTGAACTATGAGATAACAACATCACAAATGTTGAAATACCTTAAGTTAACCAAAACATTTAAAAAGTAGATAAATAAATAAATAGATATAAATAAATATTAAAATAGGAAGACTTCCTTTAAATTCAAATAGAGTCGAAAATTTTTCTATATTATTAATTAGATGCAATTGTTTACATGTTATGCCAGAAGTAATTGAACAAAAGTTATTCCAAAGAAGATTAGGCTCATTTGGTTCATCGTTAGTTTTCCCTATCCAAATATATGTCTCCCTGAAAAGCCATTTGACATCTCACACTTAAGGTATGGCATATGTGTCATAAAAACATAGGAAAAGTGAAAAGGAAACTGCCAGTCTCAGAGTCACAGGTGCATGCTTGTAATGGACTCCCATACATTTGTCACTCAAAACTTAGAGGAGAACTGCAGAAAGGGAAATGAGGGATAGAGGCTGGGCATGAGGGCAGTTTGACCACCTGGCAACTGACAGATTTCAATAGCCTTCCCTAACCGTGGCCTTATGTAGAGGGATGCACAAAGAGGATTAAGTTAGTTCGTTAGATCTTAACATATGCTTGAATCCACCCTTTTTAACCCAGTATCCCTCCTGTTTACTATTTGGCTCTGAGTCTCACTGCATCATAAAGCTTTCGTATACCTGGAGGTTGATTTCCATTAACTTGTGGTCCTTGCCTTATTTCAGTGTCCACTTCACTGTTTACATCACCAATAACACTGGCAGTAAGGTGATCTAAAATATTACCAAGGCTGAAAACAAACAAAAAATCTGTGATCTATTTTGTTTAATGCATCACTATCTGATTGAAGTATAATACTAGCTTAAAAATTGCTTTAGGTTTGACAAATACATTATTCATAAGCACCAGAGTTTGATGTAAACAAAAAAGATTATCTTGTCAAGCAAAATCAACAAACCTTTTAATTTACATGACATATTATAATAGATTTATCTTGAACAAAAATGTGATTAAACAACAATTCACTGACACATTTAACTCATGAAATATTTAATTTTATTCTATTTTTTTCCACCCAGATGGATAGAAGAAATTTCAATACTGCAAGAAGTGCTAAAATAAGCAAGGGTGACAGTATGCATTATTTTTGAAGTAAACCGAAAAAAAATGTTTTGCTTTCAGCATATAAATAAAGATATGAATAATAAATTATATTTTGACTAGAACATTCTGAATGATATATATGACTCTTTTCATTGGCTGCATATTATTTTAAAGATAAAGGTTTCACAAAAATTTCCAACCTGCAGAAATGTTGATAGACAGGTTCATTTTAAATTCACTGGGGTTTGTAGAGAATGACTTAACTGACCATGCAACAGTTATAATGCAACAATCTGTTAGTTTCGAAACGCGTAACTTGTGTACTTTTCTGTTATGTTTGTTCCGGTCTATTATTTCTTCGTTGGTTAATGATTATTACTTAATAAGTTTTTTTATTTCAATCAGTTTCTGATTTTTTTTTAAGCACATGTACCAGATATCATATTTCATATTTCATCGCTATAAGTTGCTGTCGACACTATCAATTTTGTCTGCTATTCACGTACAATCCGCTATCGGCGATTTATCTACAATCATTAGGAGCTAGACCAAAGTAAGTTTTTCTTTATTTCACATTTGAGATATTTCCTTTTTTTTTTTATACGTATATCGATTTATTTCTCGCTTTCAGTTCACTTTATAATCGCTTCATTGTTAATCGGGCTAGTGTTACATTTCTCAAGGATATTTTCTTAGTTTAATTTCTGCTGCATTTTCTTTTAGTTCGAACAACACAAATTCAGCTACAACGTTACCATCAATCATAACTACGCTATCTTCAATCTTACTTCGCCCTCTTCATCTGAGATTTCACACCGATCTCCTTATTTTCGTTTGTAATTTTGATTACGTACTTCATTTGATTAAACCGTGATTTATATTGTGCGTTCGGATTGCCTTCTCCGCTACACTAGTAACCTTTGAAGGTTACACAATCTTTTGTTATTAGGGAGTACAAAAGTTTAAAACTTTGTACATCTACTTTACTACACAATACAGAGAAATCCCAAATAACTAGAACTTACAATTAAATTTTGATCAGTAAAAAATTATAAATAATGGACTAATCTGAACCAGTAAACTATAATTTAATAAGTAACAGAAGATGTTATTTTGTGAAATTTATAGCAATTGGAGTTCTCCTGAATTTATTGTTATTTAAAACTTTTTTTAAAGTGTTTATCATATTTGGAGAATTAGTAGTTGTTAATAGCATGATGCAGATATCCACCAAAAGAATCATGCTGTCCAAGCAACTTACGTGTTTGACGCTTGATCAGCGAGTGTTTCACTCGACCCAATTGGGTACGCTGCACTGGAGAGCTTATAAAAATAAACAACCAGCTATTAAACCTCTTTACAACATTGCATATTTTGTACATATAGACTACGTTCAAATGTAACTTAACATTGCTTCTCACCAATCTAACAAGGCTTGACACTTCTCAGATCTCTAAAACCAAAAATTTCGCATTTTCTAGGTCTCCTGGGACGTCTGTGTGTCACAAAGAGAACTGTTCGAAGCAAACTTAATGTACAAATTGTATTATTATAATAAACAATCGAACCTTCGTGGAGGAAGAAGAATTGGTTAAGTTATGAAGAAAGTAGTTGGCAACTCAAAACCTGGTAAGTGGACAGAGTTTGGGAGGCTAGTGTTGAAGTACTAAGATCACGTTAATCCACAATGGTTATTGTGGAGATAAAAAGACCACGAAAAGTCAAGCTTGGCTAAAACTGAGAAGTTGTGATTTTTTTTTACCTCTGAAATTTTGACGTACTTTGCCACTGCGGGAACTACTCGTAGGGCAGGGAGCTTCTAGAAGTCCCAGACTACTTATAGTCACGCTGACCCACGCACTTACTACGTAATACGTCTAAAATAGTTCTTATAAGTAATGCTTCTAAAATTGTTCTTAAACGTAATACTACTGGAATAGTTCTTATGTAAGCTTCTGGAATGTTCCTACGGAAGCCGAAAAGGGCCGTGTGGGTCCATGCGTCATTCGTCCATTCAATTTTCTTTTAAAATCAAAAATTGAAAATTGATTTCAATTTTTGATTTCCGTTACTTTTTATCATAAAAAATACGAAAGTGCCAAATCAAAAAATTTTTGGCTTTTTTTCCTTTTGATAGAATATAGAAACATAACTTATATTTTAACTTTAATCTTGTCAACAATAAAAAGAAAAATGAAACTGGGCGGCAATGTTGCTTTTCCGACAATGTAGCAGTCTGTGACATGGCTTAGTTTTCGGCGGAAGTCTAAAAAAGAAAATTGAAAATTGCAATCAATTTTCAATTTTTGTTTTTCGGCCAAAACACTCAAAATCGTTGACAGAACTACCTAAGGGGGAGGGAGAGGAGTCCATTTGTAGCGTTGCAGTCGTGTCTTCCGTTGTGGTTAACTGTGGTAGGTATTATGAGCCTGGTGAAAAAGTTTGTTTTCATGGACGCTATAAGAAGGATTAGACCTGGGTGCTACTACACACGTGAACGACATGCTGTGGTGTTACAGGAAATGAAACCAACAAAAAAACACTCCCGGTCCGCCTTGCGGCGTCGTTGGTGCAGATTACAAAAAAAAGAAAAAAAGAAAAAAATACAAATATTTCACCATTGCTTAAATGTTAATCGTGTTGTTTCAATATCGAAATTTCCGAATAAATTTGCAAGGTTGAAAATTTGAATAAATGTTAATATCAGAGGTCTCTTTTTCGCTTTAGCTTTAGTGATGGCGGATGACGTACCCTGCAGTTGAAGGGTACTTTCTTTGAGCAAAATTAACAGATCAGTCTTTGAACACCTAATGACTCACCAAGGAGTCCACTACCAGAAATGAAGAAATCTAAGCAAAGATTCAGAGTTTTTCCTCTACTGAATCGTGTTTTACAATCATCAATCTGAGCGCGAGAGTATAAAGGCATTTCACGGGCGAATAAATTTAGTAGCTGGAGGAACATGCTGGCATTTATCTGCATTTCTAAAGATTAGAACGGAAACCTTAACGGAAATCTTATTTAGTTGAAGGTAATCGGTTGATTTTTTAGTACAGCATTAGTGCGTTATCTCACTGGATTAAATCTCTGTGAGCGCTTTTGGTAAATCCGTACGTGGGCAGTAAAATTGTTCGATTTTTAAGGAAAATGGATGTCCTAGCCGAAATCTCGCTTAAGATAATTTTTTCCCAAAAGAAAGGAAAGCAGTGTGCCGCTTTTGGTTGTTCAAATACATTTTATGGCCCCAATGGTTCGCCTACGAGCTTTCACTTCTTCAAGTTTATGCATGGAGGCATGTATTTTTGCTAAATATTTATCTTATCCTCTGCGAATTATGGATGAGGGTAACTATCGTTGCAAAATGAGTACAAATTTTCTATTAGGTACCTGAATTGTTTTAAGTTCAATAGAGTTTTTTTTATTCCGGTAGTAAGTCAATAAGTTCAATATTGCTCAACTGTTTACCACATGGCTTGCCTAAAACACTCCTGGCAGAGAAACTCTTGGAAAGTAATTGCTTTTCATAAAATAATAAGACGCTGTATCTTCTGAGTTTTCACTTATTATGGCAGACCGAGAAAACTGACACAAATTTGGTAGCAATTGTGACAAAAGCAGTTTTCAGTAGTTGCTGTTTTTGTTTTTTATGATAGCATAGTAATCCACCATGGATGCCACAAGGAACTCCCAAAAAATATTTTGTGTGCTTTATACATCAATCAATTTGATGTTTCAAATTGAAAAAAAGAAAAAGTGAGTCTCACCAACTAAAAGAGTTCTCAACATAAAATATGTAGCATGACACTAAATTTTATTATTCACAAAATTGTCCTCATAGTAAAAAAGTTTGATAGAAGTCTCGCAAAAAATTCTCTTTCAAACAAATCTTATGGTAACTGTAACAGTATAAAATAAATATCTTGGTTTGGATATATTTCTCAATCTTTTAAGAGTCTTCTTTACATCTCAAAATTACATTATCATAACATTGGTTTACACAATGCAATAAGAACTAGTATAGCAAACCCTTGTGTCATAAGGCCTCTGACTAAGAATGGGAATATCAATTCACTGAAAGTTATCACTGACAGAAACTTAAATGTGTGTAACGGACTAGCATTGTTGAGATCAGTAGCTGAGAGGATGCATTTCTGTTCTCTTCCTTTAACTCTTAAATACCCAAGATCTGATTGTTAATTCTCCCTTCTAGTTGCTACACATTTACTTGTAAATAAGTTATGAGAATATGATGTAAGATCAAGATAACCACTGCCTGATAAGTTTCAGTATTATTATCTGTTTGCTGGATAGTGTTTGGATATTATAGGGAGAAGTTACATGAATCAGTCACTTTTGGGAGTTTTAAATTGTCTAATATTTTGGTCTGATTCTTTCAATGCTGTCTTGCCACCTAATAAATTACCATGAGTCGCGTACTGAAATGGTTTTCAATGTATCACGAGCATAAGTTGTCCTGAGCCAGATGGGTTTCAAAATATTACGACATCTGTTAGTTACAGTTTCCCTCATGGGTTGATAGAAAGAAGGGTTATAATCAAGTGGTTCTACAGGCTCCATTGTATAGTTTCCCATAAGATACAATGTACAAATGGCAAACTAAAATACATCTTGGTAAATAAAATGGGAACAACTTAAAACTGAAAAATATAATACAACAACAAGTACCACATCAACAACAGCAGCAATAACAAATCTCCTCTACCTAGAGGGCTACAGCCTTTGCCTTATTACTACACGCGCAGGATCAAAGAGGCAATTCATATAAGACTTCACCCTAACAACATTAACAGGGATGGTGGAATAGAAATTCCAGAAGCGTGGATGCCCACGATCAAAAAACACAACATAACAGGAGAGCCGTGCGAGAGCGGACCGCCGAGGGAGCAAATCACTGAGTGAACAGCAAGGATCGAAATGCACTAATCAGAGCTGTTGAAAAACAACTAATCACAGCAGAGCATCATGCTTTGTGAGATCACGCATGACCAGTCGACCTCATAACCTGAAGAAGACTAGCAGTATGCAGTCGAAACGTCGCGATCTACATCACATTTTACTACATCGTGATATAAACGAAAAACCTAGTTTTTATTGTTATTCACCACGATGAATAACCACAACCTTTTCTACGAAATATCAGTTATGGTTGCGGAAAACAATAGTGTTGTAAAGCCGAAATATCAACAGTATACTTCTCTAAATAAAATGTTAAGCAATTTTTCAAAAGTGTCGATGGCGCATATATCTTTTACTGCTGTAATAAACAATGGAGGCATCGGAAAAGGCATCGGTGGCATCCGGAAAGACACCAAGAAGAATTATATTTACGTTTTGTAACTTGCTGCGTGACGTGCGTGACGAAAAAAAAAAAAACCAAAACCGTGGTCCCCTGAATGAATTTTCCCACCTTGCCCCAAAAAATATTCAAATTTTTCACAATTTCATCTGTTCCTGTTCGTAGGTCCGGCCAAGCCTTTACAGGTGTTTAGTGTTAACTTGTAAATCTCCCTGAAGAAGTCTACGACAGTTAGACGAAAAGCGTCGGAGAATAAAGAAATTTTACAACTACTGTTCGCAAAGTGCTACTCACTAGTTTAGTTTTAAAGATTTTTTTAAAAAATTTGGTGCGATAGCTGTGGTCAGTTTTTCCATGCAGGTTGTCTGGATATACCTTTCGCAGAGACGTGGGGGGACAGAGACACCAACACAACTGATTTCATTGCCGTTCGGTTTTCATCCCGAGTTCATTTGTTAAATTCAATAGAAAAAAAAACCACTTCGAACGGAAAACATAATTATTTTAACGTCTGGATCTTTGGAAAAAAGGTCTCCTAGACGAGTGGCCCTGATTATAAATATTTAACCATGGTAAACACATTAGCCTTAACTTGGCTGTTTCTCGAAGCTCAGTGTTTTCCTGCATGCCTTTTTCACATGAAATGAGCGATTGAATATATATATAATAAACACTAGAAGAACTACAGCTGATGGAAATTTTAAATTTCTTACCTAAAGGCTGTGGATACAAACTTACTAATAACTAAAAAAATTTAAAAAATTTAGGACGAAATTTTTTTTTTAGAGTTGCCAAACTTTTCATTTTTCCGGAATCGAAAGTCGCGATTACAAAATTCAAGTGAAAAGCAAACCAACTGTGATTAACGTCTTAGACAAGTCAAGATATTTTTTTTCGTCATACAACAAGTTACATATCGTAAATATCATTCTTCTCAATGCTTTTCCCGGTGTCACCGATGCCTTTCTCGATGCCTCCGTTGGTT